TGGCGGGCGGCAGGACAGGACAAAAATCAAAATCGCGTCCTGTCCTGCAGGACAGGACAGGACAGGACACAAGGACACCAGGACCGTCCTGTCCTGTGCTCATCTCTGGTATAGAACTCGGCTTGGAGATTTAGAAAATGTACTTGATTTGTCTGATATCAATTTTCCTGATGGCATCACAAATTTCAGGCTAATTTTTGGACAACTGGTTTTTTAGTTTCTTTGAGGCTTGTAATGAAGTGATTCATACCATTAGATAGATTATATATCGAAGTATATTTCCCTATACGTAAATCTTCAAAAAGTGCGATTTTCATCTTTAGCCAAATGTCCGCCTAAATGAACATGGCTGGGAGAAGAACGCTGAGGTGATCCACCCTTCGTTTCGAACTACTTTTCTGTTTTTCTGAACAGAAAATGCCAAAAAACGAGCTGATACGACCTCTAATTTGATTTGAAAACATGTTTTGTGACTATGATCGTTCCCCGTTTAAAAAAATCCTAGATCCGTCACTACTTCCATACATATTTGCTTAATTCTTCGATGGATTTCACAAATATGATATCATACTCTTTCTAAAGTTTTCTTTTTTTTATTTCCATGATTTTCCAATGAAAATTTTCGATCATTACGAAGACAATTAGCTGTAGATTATTGTGCACAATATGTTTTTGTTCACCAGTTTTGAAATTGCAATTTTTTTGAACGAAGATTTTGTTTCATGAGAATATTCTTCTTTGTTAAAATACCAAACGTGATCATTTTTGTTATGCTAATATTTCTAACTTTTGATATACAGCAACAATTTTTTGGTAGTGTGAAAGAAACTTTCAAATAGATGCAATAAATCCAGAACACATGTTTCCCAAGATACATCCGTTCGTTGTCAACAAGGATAATAACAAGATTTCTTTATTGTTTCTTTTTTTATAACAAAGTTTTTTAAAGCACAGTTTAAAAGAAGTGTTGAAGTATAGAAGAAGAATTTTTAGAATCTCTATAGAGTTCGACTAGTTCCAAAAATTGCCTGGAACTGCGATTCCGATTCGGTTGCCAAAATATCACACGGAACTTAAACCGTTAAATCATCAACTAGATACGAAAATTTTAAATCTTTTTAAACAAATTTTCACTATTGAGCTGTGAAGATTAAAGTCATCACATATTTCAGTGCTTAAAGACAGATACTGTAGTATTGCCGCTCTCTTCTCATACACCACGACAAGCATACTCTCAATATCAAAGTTCACTACAGGATTAGTATGAAATACAGTTGAATTTAAGATAGCTGCCATTTGTTCTTCGTTTATGCTGACTATAATATAAAAGGATTATCATCCTTTATCAATGGCATGCATTAAGAGTAATTAGGAACACAAAAAATAAACTCATGTTAGTGAATTCTTTCTTTGAGAATGCTAGCAGTTCTGTCGCATTTCACATGTCCATCTCACACGGATTGTGTTGACAGCTTTTTTAAAATTGTCTTTAACTAAATTGCACATACACTATCGATAGAAATGAACTGTTTGATAGTGATTCAAACATCATTATGATTGATAATATTATTCAAAATAGTCAAGAAATATTTCAATATGCCAATATCTGAATATCATGTATTAAATGTTCAATTGTGAATGACATTTATCCCAATAGGTAACGAAATGTTTGACATTAGCTTTTTGAATATCATTATCAAATGATGCTGGACGCATTTTAATCAATGAATTAATAGTAACTTCAGCTGAACAAGTCCATCGAACAGCTAAATAGCAAGCAATAAAAATAGCTAAAGTACCTTGACCTCTTATCGATTGAATGAGAACTGGTTCGTCATGATCTCGTGCTGCTAACACAAGATTAATAAAATCAATAATCTGTTCAAATGTTGGATAACAAAGTTCAGCTATTGAGAAACACACATGCTTGAATAAACTGCTATTCGGTAGAATATCAGTATCAATATTGACTATTAGATGAATTCCATGTGAGCGAAGATATTGCATATGAGGATGATGAAATGGTTGAGCGCTTGCAGCGAGAATATGATCTTCGATCCAAGAAAAATAAGGTGGCATTGAATCATGAATTAGATTACAATTTATGTAATTATTCATAGACTCTATTCGATTCACATAGAAAGAACTTTGAATGTTCATAGCAACCGATACAATTTTTTCTTTCATATTTAATATTTTAATGCTTTTTTCTGTAAAATCTACCGACAAAAACTATAGAATAATAAATCCCGAAGCAAGTGGAAAAATGAATCCACGCTCTCTTCGAATAAATGAGACGTGGCCGGATTCCGTGAACTCTGAACTCCTGGAATTCACGGAATTCAAGGAACTTCTGCAACTCACAGAACTCACAAGACCCATGGAACTTACAGAACTCGCGAAACCTTACGAATTCACGGCGTTTACAGAAGTCACAGAACCCTAGGAGCTCACGGAACTCACATAAAACAACTAACTTGAGAAACGCGGGGTCTGTGTGGATGTCAGTCGGTTTTGATCTAATCTTTATCTGAACCCACATAAGCTCCCTAAAACTACACATCGATACTCACAGGCACACGCTTAAACAACCCCGCGCACACTCACTATGGCATACACAGCCAGATCCACTCACAAACCCACATCCACATCCCATGGTCACAGTCACATAGACATGTATACTCTGAAAAACGGTAGATCTGCAGAATCTTGTAACCCTCTAAAAGTTTCTGTGTTTTACTAATCGATGAGACCTCTCGAAAAAAGGTTCTGGACAAACAAAGACGGTTCTGACATGCTCTTCGAGTCGTTCTTTCTTGTCCAGAACCATTCTTCTGGTGTAACTCATCAGATAAAACACAATCTCTTAGAGCCTAACAAAGCTCTTCACACTTCTTTTATGGTTATCGGAGCACCCAGGCACACCCAGACGTTACACCCACCCCAGCACTACCGGGCCAATATCAATACACTCATACACAGCTCACTCTAGATGTGGGTAAGAGTTTGGCATGTGACACTAATTCAAATCCGTGCTTAGATCAACACGCACGCCCACACTCATATATTCACACCCGCATCTACGCTCACATACTTACATCCACACTCCACAGTCACACTCCACACCTACATTCACACGTTGGTTTCAAGAGTTCCTATGACTCCGTGAATTTCATGGGTTCCATAGTTACCTGAATTATTTAGCTCATAACCTATTTTAGAGTTTCGAAAAGTTCTAGGAGTTCAGAATTCACGGAATCCAGCTACTGCCGGTTAAATTCGGTCTAGAGTAAAGATTTTTCATCTACAAAATTTCGAGCTTACCTTTCTGGATTATTTTTAATCGACTGTTAGAAATGCTCGGTCGCTAGTAGTTTCCAGTTCGTTCTTTCGATAGAAACAAATAATGCTCATCGATGCGATTTACTTGAACTCCATGTGAATGTTCAATTGGGTATGGGTGGATATGGATGTAGATGTATTAGTGTTGGTTAGGCATGCCAGTTTAGGGTTCTATTCTTAGGAAATCGGAACCCGGTGCGGGCTGCCGTTCATAGGAATCTGTGAATATATGGTGACTTACCACAAAACGAAAGAGTAGATATGCCTAAACATCTCATGATATTGGAAAAGGCGTAGAAACATATTCCCAAATGGACTCCCATTCCATAGTAATGGAATCTCGAGGAACGTGAACCCTGACCATTCCTCGTATTGATGTGGATATGGTTCTCCCTATGGATTTTAAGAAAGATATATCCATGCGTCATACGCGCGCAGATACACAACAACCCATACCCTTATGAATATTTATTTTTAGCAAACAGTGCTTGGTAGTGGCAGGCACATTCGTCGCTTCCCAATATCATTCTGCTATCAATCATTCTGCCCAGATGCTTGAAATTCTCATGTTACTATATACCTCTTTTTCGAGGAAAAAGAATGCTGTGATAGATTGATAAAGATAAGAACATACGGAGTTTAAATATGAGATGGATATGATGGTAGTTCTACATATCATGTTTTCATCGCAATGTGCTTTCTTTTTTCTCTGGCTGCTTTGCCTGAGCACTGGTAGAATTCAGGCAGACTTATCAACATGTGATAACATTCTAGATCTCATCATTATTCTGGACTCGTCCGGCAGTGTAACTGTACCCGACTTTGCTAGGGCAGTTGAAGCGATGAAAAGTCTGGCGTCATCCTTGAAGATTGGACCAAAAAAGGTGATGGTCACAGTGAGTAATTACTCAACCGACGTTCAAGTACCTATTACATTTGCCGATATGAAACTATCAACATTTTCAATTCAATGGCTGATGAATAAGATCGATACGCTTCAACGTTTGGGAAGTAGCACTGACACAGCCAAAGCTCTCCTGGAAGCGAAGACAGTATGTGATGCTACGTGTCGGCCTCTAAATGAAGGAGTTGCTCGATCAATAGTCGTTTTCACTGACGGAAAGAACGATAAGCCGCCAGAAACAAAAAAACAGGCAGAGATTTTGAGAAATTCGACGCAAGCAAACATTTATGCTGTTGGAATTGGTGAATACAACTTAAAAGAACTCAAAGAGATTGCTCCTGATCCTTCTTATGTCTTAACGCTGACTAACTACCAACAACTAATTGTATCAATAACCAAATCACTAACGAAACGTGTATGATGCCTGCCTTTGTCGCACCCAATGTGAAAGTGGATACAGAAGTGCCGGCCAATACGTATCGCTATTACCGCATTGACACAAGTATGCTGAGAGCAAGAGAAGGCGGCTTCTTTGAATTGACGGTAAGCTTTACTACCGAATTGGCGATGATTAATAAACATATGCAATCTTCTAGACAAACATACGAAAGGGCAGCACTCGCATGTTCACTTCGGCGACCAACATGAACCCTCAAGCTGGCTCAAGTCGTGAAGTTTCGTCCAAATCGAGAGGAATAGGACAACACTACCTTGAGTTCATTAAGCCTGGAACGTCAAAATACTACTTCAGTGTTCTCGGTATCGATCCAGTCAATGAGCTCGACTTTACACCACGAATTCTTGATCTGTCTGGCAGTATCATTGGATAGAGAATTTTCACATGTCTTCTCTTTTTTTGCATCTCTTTCGAATTATATTTAAGAATTGAAAGAATAATATGGCTTTAGCATTTACTTGATAGAATTAAAATAACAAGCAACCAGACGTATGGTATTTGCTAATAGTTTCTGAGCATTTCTCTGTCGATGTATTATGAGAGATAACTTTGCACATCTACTTAAGCGAGAGTCTACAATGACACTATCACCAATGAACTTCGCAAAATTTTAGATTTCGACTATTCTTCTATCATTCAACCAAATCATGTCTGAAAAGTTGCCGGTAAAATTAAAAGATGTATCAGGAGTTCCAAATAAGATAATGACAACATCTGACTGTTCCTCTTCCCCTCTCCCACCCTACAGTGGACAGCAAGGCGATTAAATCGATTTCTGAGATCTCAACCTATATTGTAGCTGGCATTAAAGTTGCTATGTATCTGTGTTTAAGTGCACCTCGGATTCTGATTGGAAGCCATTAATCGTCTTGAAACAGTTCCCGCAAAGTAGGTAAAACAGGTAAACATCATTGATGGGGCTCTACACATAAAATGCATGTTTCAAATTGAAGTTCTTATTATATTCATTAGATATTAACAGTTGCAGTTCATCTTATCGATTACAAGTCAGTACAATAGTATAAAAAATTGATTGAAGTCAGGCTGAAGTTAGTTATATGAAGATTTTCACCAGGACTATTGCGGAATAAAATCCATATTATAATCGATTATAATCAAAATTACTAACCCGATTAGGTACATAGAATTTTGAAAGTTTAATCGATTGCGATCGTTAAAATTTCTCATTGGGGTGTAACATAAAAAACGTTTGCCCAAAAATCAAATCATCGCCATCTTCTTGAGACGTAAAGTCGATATAGATATCATTTACGAGTTTCAGAGTGCTATCAATTTCAATTTCATATTTGCACTTGTACCGCAGCTGTTAGATATTACATAAATAAGTATATTCATGATGTATGTGTTCTCTTTAAATAAAAATTATATAGGTTAGTTCATTATCTAAATTTTGTAAAAAAACAAAAACAAATATTATTATTCTTTAAAACCAATCAAACCTTTATTGTTTCAAAATAATCTTTTATTTTGTGAAAAGACTATTTACAATGACATACGTAATATTCTGCTGATTTATTATTAATTATTATAATCATAGTATAACAACAAGTATGAATACATCAAAATAAACATCTTTTAAATAATGAAGTGTGATGTAAAGCATACCAAGTAACTTTTAATGTATTATCTGATATTAAAATTATTTTTGTACGAATAAATTGCGCATCAGTATAGCCTGTATGTGCAACTAAAAAATATAAAAATAAAAAATAACCTTTTTTTTCTTTCATTATAAGATTTCGTACTTTGTCCAATGCCTGCATAACATATCGGAGAATTTGAATCAACTTCAATAGCATGTGTAGCAGCAAAAGAAATTTTACTATGTGGTACATTAGGATCTCCAGAAATTTTTCTAGCAACTAATGCATTCGGTACAATTTCCGCATCTTTTGATGTACCATCAATGGTTGTTGGACATGTAAAATCATGACAAAGCTCAACATAAAGCAATTCAAGACCATGACCACCATACGAACCTACCCAAAGTCCATGAAAACGTGATAACGGATGATTGTTATCATCTGTTCTTGGTTGTGAAATTGAAAGAGGATGATAAACAATTGATAAATTATCCGAACAATGTCTTGTAAAATAGATATCATGTCCTTCCGGACTATCCATAGAATTATGATCATGTTCAATTAACGATGATCGTTCATTGACTGGCAATGCTTCTTGTGATAAACCAAAATATTGTTGATTTGAATCAAAATTTTTTATCCATGGTAATTCTTGATGAGGTGTATTACATTGATGACAAAATATTTGATGAGATTTACAATCAATAGTAAATAATTTCATTTTTGTATAGACAGGTTTTAAAAATGATTCATCGGTTTCATCATCATCATCATCATCATCATCATCAAAAAAGAAGTGTGGTGCATCAAAAGAACCATTGGTTACTTTAATCTTTTCACCAATAATAGTTTCATCTGATATATTCAAATGAATATTAATAAGACCACCATAATATTTTTCATTTGATTTCCAATAACCAAGATATCGACCGTATGGTACGAGAATTTTTGTAAATAAACTTCAAGAAAAATATTCAATAATTTAAATTTTATGTTTTTAATTTTTGAATAAAAATATTCTTACTCATAAAAACTTTGTTCAATTTCATCTAACGGAAATTTTATATTATATAATTGATAGCATAGTCGTTTCCATATGCGATCATCACGTGATACAGATAAAAACAATGAAGAAATTCGGGAAAATGAACATAAATCTTTTGGTGAATCAAGATGACTAGCTATTGAAAAGAGAAGTTCATATGGTAACTTATCCATCTATAAAAACAAAATCCAGAAAATAAAATTAATTGCTCTTTTATTTCATCAATAAAATATAATAAAAATAAAAATTCAATAAAATATTGCACATAAAAAACAAAGTTTAATGTTGACGTCGTCGTTTATATTTGCATTTAAAAGAAGCAAAATAAAAAAGTGTTACGATAACCATTATAAATGCCATTGTATAAAGAGGAACTAAATCAAAAGAACAATAGTTTTTTTTATTTTAGATGATTAAATAAACAAAATGTTTTACTTGAATAATTTAATATTGCTATTTTATCTTTCATATCTTTTGAACATGTTTCAATTAACATTTCATACTCATTAAGTTGACGACCAAGTTTTGGAAAAATAACCACCATCAGAATTCCCATAATTTGACTATAAATTATCAATTATTTGAATATTAAAATAAACATATCGTGCTAATCACTATTATATCTCCAAGACTTTATCAATACGATCGGTTATCTTGACAAAAAAAAGTATTTTAGAGCTAGAATATCAAGAGAACGGTGTCAAAACTCGATAGAGTTCATCTTCAAACTTTTAATATCGATTGATTTTAATACTTTTTCCTTGGAATGACTTTCTACAAGAAATATGATTAGATTCCAACTCAACTAAATACAAAGTTTTTTTTTTTCTTAGTAGATATGCATTTCTGACGCTGTATTAAAATCGAATTCAAAAAGCATATCATGTTCGTATTTATCCGTACACAATAACCACAAAGATATACTAAATCTTTCGCTGCTTTGGAAAATCGATGTGCCGGACATAGTAGAAGATTCCTCTTAATTAATTAATGTCTTAGAAAATTGGAACTTTAATTAGTATATTTATATCGTAATATGCCTAGTTTACAGGATTTTCTACAAGACTGAGGTCAATATCATTCTAAGGTTTTAAAATTCTAAAAATCTCTTCGGAAACCCACGAAATCATTTTTTAGTTTTTTGAAAAACTATGAAAATAAATCCGACATAATAGAAGGCCCAACATATTCTATTGCGGGGAGAGGTTTAGAATAGTTCGAAATATTAAGCTCAAAGATGTACCCTTAGAAATGCAATTTGCAGCTGTCTCATATCAGTTTCAATCTTAAGAACTTTAGAAAAAATCATTCCTATGAACTGATCTATTCCAAAACTTCTTTTGATAGGAAATGATGTATTTAAAAAATTATCTTAGATAGTTTTCTCTGAACTTTTCAGCTTAAACTAATATCTATCTAAGAACGAATGATATTCAATTTAATTGTCTCTATTAAAAACTATAGTCTTTATATGCTGAAGTCTTGATAACGGCAGATAATATTCTAAATATGTATAAGTTTTTCAACAATTTATTTCTTTACCTAGACATCACATTAATTCCAATAGCAGTTGCTTCCGGTATAGGATAGACACATTCAAGACTTAGATCCATTGATATAGGTGATAAAGGTATTGATACAAAACCAACAAAAGCAAATGCAAAATAAACTAAATATCTCCATACTCGATTAATAATAAACTAAAATATTAAATTTTATAAAATTCTATTAGATAAAAAAAATTTTCATACCAAACCAAGAATAATATAAGCAACTGAACTTGCTGTATATAATATTTTCGAAATTTCTTCTAATTTTCCAGTTTTATCAGCAAAATAACCAGATATTAATGAACCTAAACTTCCTGCTCCAATAAACCATCCTAAACAAATTCCAACAGTTACATTATCATAACCAAATGGACACATCATTTGTTGAACCAATGTTGAAAGTGCATTAAAACATCCAATTGCAATTCCACAACCAATAAATAAAACAACATAAGATTTTGATCGATAAAGCTAAAGATAGAAAATATTATAAATTATTTTTCATTTTTACTTTCCTACTCTTTTTAATGATAATATAAATGGTTGTTGTGTATGAACAACTGCTTTACATGATGGTGTAGGTGGTTGTGATGATCGAATTCCAAGACAAAGTATACCAGCTAATATAGCCGGTATTACACTTAAATATAACTGAAGAAAAAAATAACAAGAATTTATAGGAAATAGATAAAGATTATAAACAAACCAATAATGGAATTTTGCTCATATCGGGTACGATAATTGGTGAAAGAATACTACCGATAAGAATACCAAAAAAGTTACCTAAAAACAGAAATGAAAGGACTCCATCGAATTTGATGATCTATCTTGAATTAGAATACCATATATGCAGTTTTGTAGAGCGATTTACGGCGTATTGAATGGTATATAAGAACTCAAATTTTCATGTTCTGTGGATTCATATACTGATTATAATCCTTGAAGAATATATATGGTACTCAAAGACACTGTGGTTTCTAAGATAAACTTATGCAAATTTTATTTTTAAACTCAATTCGATACAATTATAGGTGTTTGTCAATTTTCTATAATCAATAGTTTTCCTCATTGCTTTCTTCATACTTAAAAATGATCCCTTTTCTTAAGTTTAGGTCATTTCGTGACTATATAGTATTTCAATGTGCTCAATCTTGTGCCACAAAACAACTAAGTACCAACGTGAAAGTTTCTCAAAAATTGAACACTATCGAGCTCTATGTGTTTCACAGATAACGTCTTCCAGAACAACCAAGACTTACTGTCAACTCACAAGATTGTCTAATGGAATAGCCTATTTTTGTATATGAAGGAACCAGCACATTGACGATAGTTTAACAATACTCAACGATCCTATTAAAAATTTTTATGCACTACTAACCAGCACATCACCCCTGATTTACTGATACAAACTATTACTCCTTCATATAGGAAAAAAGCTGTTTAGTCTCTAGACATCTAAAGTGTGCTACGGGAATATAGTTACATGGATGAAGTCTGCTATCTTTATTATTTCTTTTTCACATTTTTTTATTCAGAGTATCTAGGTTTGATTTATACATGAAACGTTAGAAGAATCTATAAATATCTTATGTTCATTTCAAAAATAAATTTTCCCATATCCCCGTACTTCCTCTAGAAATTGGGAAGTCAAAAAAGATTTTCTGTTTATAAAAGGAGTTATTTATATCATTTCACCATGTATGCTGTGCTGATTATAGTTATATAAAAATTTTTAATAGAACCGTTGAGTATTGTTAAAATATCGTCAATATACCGACACGTTCATATGAGAAAATTGGCTATTGTATCGGACAATCTTACAAGTTGCTAATGAATCTCGGCCGTTCCAAAAGATGTTATCTATGAAACGTATAGAACTCGATAATGTGTAATTCTTGAGAAAGTTTCACATTCATACTCACTTGTTCTGTGGCACAGAATTGAACGCACTAGAATATCATATAGACAAGAAATGACTTAGATCTAAGAAAATGAACCATTTTTAAGTATGAAGAAAGCAATGATGAAAACTATTGATCATAGAAAATTGAAGAGCACCTATAACTCTATCGAAATAAGTTTAGAAACAAAATTGGCATAATTTTATCTTAAGAATCACAATGTCTATAAGTACTATATATATTTCTTAAGGATTATAATCAGCATATGAAAACCTGAGAAGATCAAAATTCGAGGAAAACTTGATTTCTTATATACTATTCGATGTGCCGCATATTGCTCTACAAAACCATATATATGGTATCCTGCTTCAAGATAAGTCACCAAGTCCAACGAAATTTTTTGGAATAAAATTTCTTTCAAAATCATACTTCCAATAGCAATTGAATTAGCTAATGAACGTTGTTTTTCAGAAAACCATATAAAACTAAATTTCGTTGGAATAAATAGAATAAATGTTTGTGCTAATGCACATAAAAATTGTCCTAAAATTCATAATTATTTTTCTTTTGAATAATAAAATTTATATTCTATTTTACCAATCATCAGTATTACAAATCGTCCTTGTGCATCAATTACTGTCAAGGTACTAAAACATCGAATAATACTTCCAATAGCATTCATCCAAACACCAATATACATCTATTAAAAGAAAAAAAAAATAATCAAACACAAATTATCATAAAAATATATATTAAATCAAACCCCAGCACGAACACCAAGTTTATCAATTAACCAAGTTGATGGTAATGTAAATGGTATTGTTACAATCATATACATTAAACTAAGCCAATTAATTGCATTATAACTAACCTTATAATACTCTACACCTAAATTTGCAATAGGTGAAAAATTAATCCAAATCTATAAGTGAATATTAGATGAATTAATTTAACAAAATTTAACTTACGAAAGCATTGGATATTTGTGCTAAACAAACAACAAATAGATAAAACCATCGACGTTTATAAGTGATATAGACTTTTGGAATTAAATTGTCTATCTCTTCATTGTCACTTTGACTTAGTTGTTCATAATCATCCATCTGAAAATAGAAATATCTTTTGAAAATGAATTTTTTTTTTCTATTATCAGAAATAGAAAAAAAAAGACAATAAAAATCAATTTGTTATATATTTCAATAGATTCAACATCCAGCAAATTTATCTTATAAAAAGTAAAAGAAATAGAAAATTTCTCATGGATTATATTTTAGTAATAATTAACCATCTGTATCAAATATCATCTCGAACAAACGAAAAAAAGAATGAATTTCAAGAGAAAGAATACTTAGGTTGTTTGATATTGGAACTATACTTATACGTTTTCCAGTAGAAATTTGCCTGATAAGTCCCAGTCGTGGACTCCGTGGTCAGAATCGAAATATAAGTTTATAGTAAAATATTCCATGATGCTGAGCAAATTATCTTAGGAATCATATACATCAGAACATAATTCAAGAGAAATGATCCCAAAAAGTCCCAGTGGTCGACTAAAAAACAATCAAAAAAATTAGTATTGAAGAATTATTTCAGATATAATACAATTTAATTCTGGAATTAACTTTCTCTAGACCGGAAACCAAAAAACTAAAATCATCCAAATCGGGACCGAGATCTAACCAGCTAAAACCATCGGGATCAGGACTAAATAAACTTGGTACCGTACATCTATAATTTCTACTCTTAAAAACTATATTATAAGACTCTAACCTAACTAAAAGCAAAAGAATTACGATGGTGAACTTAACTATCTCTGTCTAAATGAAACAGAAACTAGAGATATACAAGGTGTAAGCCTTTTTTGTACCTTCACTGAGGAAAATTTTCTTATCCTTAGCCTACCTTGCACATCTCTAACGGAAATCAGATTATAGATAAATAAAAATCAACTTTTCTCTCTTCTTTTATGATGAAATGAAAGTGTATTCTCATGATATTTTTTTTGTGTTCATACTAATTCTTGAGTAAAATTAATCATTGCTTTAATCCAATACACAATCTATATCATTGTTTCCAATCATATCTAAAATTTTGGTTAAGTTAATAAATCTGACAAGAAAAACAACACTGAAGCACAGGTTTTTTTTTAATCTGCATAAATAGTAAAAATAAAACAAGAAGAAAAAAATACAGAAGTTTCTGGGCTTTTTTTTAATGATTATTATTATTGTTTTTAATAATGTTCTTCAATTGGATTTCCTTCATCAACAAGACCATGTTCAATCATTGCTTTTTGTCGAAGTTTTTCAATATGTTCTTTTTTTTCAATATCTTGTTTTTGTAATTTAAGAATTTCTTCAATTGATACTTCATAAAGTGGTACACGTAATGGTTTATAAAAATCTAATTCACCAATAAGTAAAACATTTTCACCACGTATTACAAATAAACCACGAGGAATATCGGCATATTGTTGACCAACACAAATACGTTCAAATGCTTGATGAAGAACCAGATTACCTTAAAAAAAAAATAACAGTTTTCAATAGCAAGCTCTTATTTTTAATATTATCCAGTTTTATTTTTCCAATGCAAATATTTAACTAAAACTTTCAATTGTACACAGTCATTCTTTTTTTTTTTTGTCGAAACTTCTTTATTGAAATACAGATATGCTAATTACAGACATGTCTAATCCTTTAGTTTGCATTTAATATGTAAAAATATATCACTCAGTTCAATAGTAATAGTATCTCATGAAATTGATCCATTTTCTTTTGAAAAGAACATTTTTTTCTCTATTAGAAAATGACATGAACTCTTTTTTTTTTCACACATACCGAATTGATCAAGACTTCTTAAAAAAGCAATAAGTGTTCGACCATCACGTAGCATTACCATTAACTGCTCTAAGCAAATATGTACCGTAGAAATAGTAGATATTATATTGTATAATCAATTATGCATTTTGATTCCTTACTATCAATGTCGCCAATTAATGCTGCCATACCAGATAGATAAAAATCATTGTTGACAATACTCAAGTCCATTATTATTTTATTGATTTAGAAAAATAAAGATCTAAAACATAACAATTTTACAAATTTCATTTTGTTCTCGTTCAATGCACATAGACAAACGTTTGAATCGTATTCAACGCCTTTTTTTCTACTCCGCCTCGTTTTGTGTACGTAATTGAAAGATTTCCTTTTCTCTCCTATATACATATACATCATTATTCAATCACGTATACAGCTCACTACTAGAGTATCAATCAGGTTAAATATAAGTAAAAAAAAAAGGGAGACAGACGCCCTGTCTTCTTCGTTTTTTTTTCTTCTCCTTCGCATCTTTTTTTTTTTTTTTGTTATGTGTGTGGGCGCAACATGTATGCATATATATATATACATATATGTATATTGACAAGCGAAATGAATTAAAAAAAAAGAAAAAAAAAAAGAAAATGATAATGTTACAAATGTATTGATCAAAGTTGATCTATTATTATCATGGGCAATTCAAGAAGCAATTACGAACGACATGAAGATGATGAACAACAACAACGAATTATTATTGGAAAAGAATTTCGTCTTGTTCTTGGACAACTTAATTTATCATCAGATTTAATAAAAAGAAAAAAAACTTTTTCAAATAATAAACAACAATATCCTCGAAAAGTTTCTTTATCATCATCAAACTCAACAATAACATCATCATCATCTTTCGATTCTCATCATTCATCTGTTTATGTTATTCAACTTGATATACCTACATCTCCATGCGATTCAAATGAACTCGATACTCATGCTTTTATTCAATATTTATTTCATCAAGATACTTATGGTAAAGAACTTACACATATATTTAAAATTCCAATGCCTATTACTATGAATAATAATCAAAAATTTCAATTAAAAACATTACCAACACTTAAAATAGCTGCAGTTTATTATGATCAACCATCAACAACTAATGAATTAAATATTGAAACAATTTCTTTACTCTCTGAAAATGACCTTGAACAAAAATTTCAAGAATTTAATGAAAAAAATATCTTATCTATTTATACATCAAGTAGATTTTTTTTTTTATTTTTATTAATTTTATTTTTCTTTCGATTTAATTTAGAATCAAAAATCTATATAATTTATACAAAAAAACCAATAATACATAATAAATATAAATTAATTCGTTCAACAACTATGACAAAAACCATACTTGAAAATTTTGAATGGCTTCATCCATTTATCAACTATTCAAATTTAGGTTATCGTTTATGTGGAATGATTCCTATTATTAATTCTCCATTAGCTACCTCATTTACTATTTATTGGTTATTCGAACAAATCGAAACAAATGAAACGATTCAATATGATTATAGTATAATTGAATATCAATTAAAATCTTTCTCATTTAATAATTGGACATCATTACTTAATTTAATGTCAAAACAAGAATGGAAATTAGTAGCAACATTCGATTATAATCAAAAGAAAAAACATGGAGAACAAATATATTTTCTACTTTTTTTTCAAAGAATAAAAAATTATCGGGATTAGTATATAAATATTTTTTCTAATAATCATGATGAAAGATTAAGCGTATTAATTAAATGATAAAAGCGAATTATTAAAATTTGCTTGATTTTTTTTTTTGTTAGAAACTTAAACTAGAAATTTTTTTTTAATATCGACTAATATCACGTCCAAATACATGAGTACGAACCCAATCAAATGCAAGCAATGTTTTCGTTCGTCCAGTAAACATTTCAGTAAGATAAAATGATTTCCATAAATAAGCAGCACTACGACCTGACATTGGTTTTAATTTAAATATATCAAGAAGTGGTTTTGAACCAGTAAAATCAACTACTGCTTCATCACCACCAACATATGCTAATGAACCCATATGTTTATATCGGAATGGTTTTAGATTTTGTTGTTCAAAATGATTTAATTGTGTATCAGTTAATTGATTAAGTAAATCAGCTACATAACGACCTTCTTGAGATGCAACTTGAGCTGTTGCTGGTAATGCACGAATTTTATGATCAGCTTTTTCAAGAGTTGAACGAAGTGCAGCAAGTGTTAAATAACCAGACTTTTCTTTATCAGCTTCTGTGAATGCCTTTTCGACACTCTTGGAAAATATTTCAAGCTAAAAAGAAAATGAGATCGGAGTTTTATTAAACAAAAAAAAAATTATAAATATTGTTTACAAGATTTTCAACGCAGAGATGGAACGAGTCTATCTTATTTACTCTACTACTTTTATCATATCAACTTATTCAAAACTTCTATTGACTTTAAGGTTATCTGTAGAGGTTATTTAATGAAATTTGACCTTGTGAGATAATATTATCTATCTGAAATTGTTTTTATAATCAATTCAATAGCTCTATTGTTAAAAACTTTATGTTTCCAATGAATGCTAGAGTTAAAACCATTACCGGTCATCAAAAGTTCAGACTGGTATAATGTTTGATAGAAACTAAAAATTTATGTACAATCTTTAACGAATAAGTCGAAAGCATCTAGAAGAATATTTTTTTAGAAAAGAGAGAATGAAGTTTTTAATTTGGACATCGGACGTGTATACTACAATGTGAAAGAATGAACATCAATAGTCAATGTTTCTTACAAAATGATATTTTAATCAATAATATTTGCAAGTCAGTTCTTAATAATGAATTCTATGAAAAAAAGAAGAAGTGTAATAAATACTTCGAGAATTTTCATTTTATATTTAGTTTGTGAAGCATTGTTTCGATATAATTAACCTAATAAAAGAGATTTTTCAAAAAAAAATATCAATCATTGTCGTCTGGATGTAATGACCACATATTATATTGAGAAATTCAAATCAAGTATAATTCAATGGATCTTTATAAATGAACTGTCTAAATTTCCATTCGTATAATTTTGATTTCAGTTGAAAACTCTTTTGACTTTTGTTTTTCATCAAAATTATTTAAGAAGATTTTATCGTAACGTATAGCACGAAAGTCTTCGCATCATTTTTCGGCCACCAAAAGATAATCGGTTTGAGTCAGAATTAGAATTTTCTACTATTTTCGAATATATGTTTAGATATTCTTTTTTGTCATAAGATTGAATAACTATCAAAATCTCATCTAGGTATTTTCACTAAAATTCTAACTTCTATAAAAATCGACATTGGTAAAAAAAACTGTTGTCATTTTTAAAAATACAAAAGTTTTAAAATCTATCAGAAAAGTAAATAGCACACATTGTAAAACCCACTGAACAGTTAAAATCTGTTTCATATTTTGAATTTGATAGTTCTCAATCGATATACAAAATTAACCAAAATAATATTCTGTACAACCGGTATTCTGAAACTATCTGATGATTATCCAATCTTACCTTAGAATAAAATTCTAAACATATACTCGGAAAGAGAAAGAAATTCTGATTCTAATCTTATTCAACCACCTTTCAGTGACCGAAAAATGAATATTTTGTATCAAGACTTTTGCGTTATTGGTTATTTTTTGGTAGATATTAATAAGCTAAAAAAAAATACTTAAATACTTGTGGAAATTCAGTAATTTTCTTTTCAACTAATGTTCGAAATTGTTGAAGATCAAGTGCACTTCGATGTTCTGTATCAGCTTCTTCAAATAATGATTGAATACGATCAACTAATTTTGGTGTTTGAATTGTAGCACAATCACCAAGAGCAAATATTGAACCATCATCAATACCTTTTACACGTAAATATTGATCAGTAAGAAGACCCATACGATTGCTTTGAATATTTAAACCAATTATTTCTCGAAGTTTATTTGTTAATGATCGAGCTTTAATTCCAGTTGCCCAAACAACAACTGAACATGGAAGACTTTTAAGTTCATTGGAATCTTTTAATTGTATAATAACTTCACGTTGTTTAACTTCTTTAACAAATGTATTCATTAATACATCAATATTTTCACGATGAAAATGTCTTTCAGTATAATCACTTATTTGTTTATCCTAAAAGATAAAGTTAATCAAAAGAGTTTTATTAATAAAAAAAAAAAAAACAAATCTGCTAACCATCATTGATAAAATATGATCAAGTGCTTCAATTAATGTTATTTTTACATCATTAGCAACAAGACGTGGAAAATAAGTTTGTAGATCTTCACGAACTAAATCGGCAAGCTAAAATTACATATATAACTCTAATATAAAATAATAATTTTATTTCAATTATGAATTTACTGTGGACTAATTCACTTACAAGGGAACCTTATCAGATGACTTCTTCTGATTTGAATGATTTTTTACCTATAGATACTACAGAGTGTTCTAATAACAATGATTAAAAGATTTGGATTTTTATTGAGTCTCAGCTAAGCTATCGAATTTTTAATATCTCTATGTTTCAGAGGTTCCTGTAGTACCCCAGCAGAGATAAACGAGGCTGTTCCGCACTCTAGCACATGCCTACGCAACTTTGTCTAAATCTTCATAGAGTGCATGTTATGAAATCTCCTAGTTCCATTCACATTTTTGAAATGTGTCCTCCGAGCAAGAAAAAGAATAAGTATGAGAAGTGCGTAAGCTTCAGCAAGAGTGCAGGACAGTGCAAGACAATCCTTCTATCTCTAAACTCCAGGTCTTCGGAAAACTAGTATTTTCGTGTAAAACTTGGTGCATACAAAGAACTCAACTAGACTAGCTTCCATAAACAAATTCACAACTTCTTGAACAAAGTCTCTTTTGAAGATATTGAGCTTTCAAAAAATGTATGCTATATACACTACTTATAGAAAAGGGTCTATATCGTGAAAGTCTCATATCTCGAGGAGAATTTATTTAAAACTTTTGAATTGCTCTATAGAAACTAGTCTAGTTGAGTTCTTTATATGCAAAAAGTTTCAGATCAGAATTCTAAATACGAGCTTTTCGAAAACGTGAAAATTTGCATGAACAAAGTTCTTAATAGGATTAGTTGATTGTGCGACTTGTATTTCCTTTCTAAAGATGTAAATATATGAACAACATTTACTTTTTATATGAGGAAATGTTGAATATGGAATATCTCAGAATAGGGGTTATTAGAAACATTACAACTTACTCAATGAATTAATCTCATTAAGAACTTTGTTCTTGCAAAGTTTGAAGTCGAAAGTCGTTTATTTCACATGATCGGACAGGAACCACAGATTTTTGTTGAAAAACTCAGTAAAATTTTAATATCTCAAGAACTATACCCTGGAAAACCAAACCATTCTAGATTTTTCTATTATTCATCAAATGAACATCGTCTCGATCGAAAGGTGATTTAACACTTGAAGAAATTTTCTCGTTAGTTGACTCACTATTTCTATTTATTTAAATTTCAAAAGATAAAAAAAAAATCATTTAATTCTCTATGATACGATCGATGAACTATCATAGACTTCTGAATGTCATCCTTTTTATAGCCTTCAAACGCTAGTCTTTCAAACAAAACAGATCAAAGATGGTCTAATATCTAAGCAAAAATTGATATCGATCAACTATTTCAATAAAGACATACTTCGGCAGCAAATTCAACACCTGTTGGTCCACCTCCAACAATAACAAAATGTAGAAGACGTTTTCTTTCTTCTACTGTTTGTGTTGGTGTCATAGCTGATTCAAAAGCATCACTAATTGCTGAACGTATACGTCGAGCATCAAGAAGTTCTTTAAGAAAATGTGCATGTTCTTCAACACCAGGAGTATTAAATGTATTATTTTCTGATCCAATAGCAACAACAAGTATATCATATTTCATTTGAAATTCAGGTCGAACTCGAGCTAAATTAATTTAAAGAATAACATAAAAGTTTTTTTAAAAGAAAAAATTTCTTCACCTGAATCTTTAATTATTCTTGATGATGCACCATCTGTACGTCCTGATGGTGCAATTACTGCTTTAACATTATCACCACGTGCTACTGTTTGTTCTCCATCACTAATACATGTTATAATTTTTGCTTTTGGATCTACATTAATACAATGTGATTCAATAAATTTAACACGTGGTCCAATAAGTGAACGAATTGATTCAATTACTGTTCGGGTTTCAACTGTACCAACACTAACAGATGGTAATAATGGTGTCATTAAAAAATAATTACGTGGTGATACACAAACAACTTCATATTTCTGAGTATCAATATGTTTTAAAAGTGGTACAGCACTCCAACCTGTATAGAACTATTAAAAAAAAAATAAAAGTAATTGAATCAATATTTCACCTGTTCCAAGTACAACAACACGTGGTTTAGTACCAGAAGTCTTATCAGAATCACTCATATCATTAAACCATCGATAGCGACGATAACTACGATAACCATAATATGTACCGAGACCAACAACAGTAATAACGAAAAAATTTTTTAAACGTCGTTTTAATTTTCCACCTAATTCAATAGAATATTTTTCGAATGAACATCATAGATTCAATATCTTAGAAATTATATGTCGTAAAACTTCTTCGAAAAGATTGATTACTCTAAAAAAAAGTTTACATCTTTTTTCCTATAATACAGCATATGACATCTTTTAGAATGAACTTTGATTTTTGAATCGTATGCTTCATATTTGAAGGCACAGTGGCTACTAAAATTATTCAACAAGGTTTATTTTCAATTTTTTTCTGTTATCGTAAATATTAGAAAGAATTCGAATAGAGAACATTGTTTTCAAAAGGAATATAACGAAATAAAAATTATTATCAGATATCCAAAGATAGAGACTGCAAAAAACCTAAAGACTATTTTTTAAGCACCTCGAGCGCATAAATATAATTTTATTTAGATTGCATAGAATGATAGAGCAAACAATTCTCTAAAACAAAATGGACTTCTTTGTTTTGTTCAATTTTCGATAGACAAACCACTTTTTTTGATCTTCAATCAAACAGCCGCATCTCAGCAAAAGAAACCGTCGTAATCTAAACAAAACCATATTTACGCGCTCTAGCTATTGAAAAACTAAGGATTTTATTTTCTGGAGCCTCTATCTTTGCAAATCTGATAATAATTTTTATTTCTGTATATATTTATTGGACATCATTTTCTCTGTTGGAATCACTATTTGAATTTTTTCTAACGCTTACAGCAGCGGAAGAAAATTGATAATCAACAGTTAAGGTACTCACTGTATATACGGGAGCCTGTTGGGTCCAAAATTTTCGAAGTTGGTCGAACCGTACTTCGACACTCTCAATGAACTTTTCTAATCGAAGTTCGATAAGCGATCCGAAGATACGAAATATTTTTTTGTCTTTTTTCCTGTATTCGGTGATTAGCTCACCTTACACATTTTTCGGATGACTAGAGAGCCCGTTGAGTTCGAAATCAAGCCGATACGCTCTAGTATATACAAAACTATGTAATATAAAATTTTAAATTGTTACAGAAATTTTTATTCGTTTTTTTTTTATATAGGAAAATTTAATACGAGGTAAATTTTAAAAAAAAATTTCTTACGAACCAAAAGTGTCCTTGCGTGATTGCCCAGAAAACCAAGCAAGATTTCGATTAATAATAGGTTTTATTTGATTGAATTGTTTAAATGATAAATTTCGACGTGAATTTATTGTTGTTAATTGTTGAAGAAATTGTGTTGAACGAGAAAGCATAGTTGATTTTCCAAAAAAAAAGTCAGAATCTTTGTTTTTGTTTAAACGATATTTTATTTGACGATAAACATAATAAAAAAGAAAAACATTGAATAATTGATATTTTCTATTTGTTTATATTTACTTCAATCAAAATACAAGTTCACCGCCATCTTTTGATAAACGAAAACGAAAGAAAATATATGAATGGTGAATTACATTGATTCATATGCTTCCATGAAAAATTCTATTTGATCAACTAGTAAACTTCGAGTTCAATTTCATGATAAAATATGGTCAAGTTGGTTAGAGTATTAAAAAAATATATATGATTATGTTCGAATCTATCTGTTAGACTATGTTACTCAATGATGATTTTATAATTGTTTGATCAATTTAATGAAATATTCTCAATAATTATCTGCCTTTCTTGGACTGAGAGTAACAATAATATTCTATTCTTTCTTGAAAAGAATTTATTTGTTAATATTAAAAAAAAATAAAACAATTTTTTTAGACGATAGATAATCTTTGAAAATTCTATCTATAAAATATTCTTCTCTATACAAATTGATATGAACTTGCCAAATATTTTATTAAGAGTATTCAATTTGTTTTATGTAGTAGTTTTTAAGTATAAAAATAAATATCAAAAAATTTTTATTCTCAGCTGTCAGATTATTATTAAGGGAAAAAAAAAATTTTAATTCAGAATTTGTTTTTTTTTTTCATATTTTATGAAATCTTTTCAACCATAAATAAAATATTTGATGAAATACAAATAATTCTATATATTCCTTTGTAGTATATAGTTTCACCGAATTCTATTGATCTTTTTAAAAAAAAAATCATCGTCGAGATAAATCACATGAATTAACAATTTATTTATTTTTATCTGTATTTAGATAGAATTTTTAGTCACATTGAATAATGACTGTATAATATAGGAGTACCGATGTTCGAATCTACATTCGAGACTAGAGTCAGGGATGTCTCTTCATCAGTGGCACATAACTGTTCATGCTCTCGATATATTAAATATTATCAACAATTGATAACCAAACATTCGAAGATCAATATTCATCGAATGATTTATCTTAAATTGTTGAACAAACATATATATTTTATTATTTAAAATATCAAAAACAAAAAAAAAAGCTCCAAATACATCGAAGATATTTTTTAAAAAGAATTGTAGCATATATTGATATGATACAATAAGGTTATTGATGATAAATTAGAGATTTGTAATTCACAGATATGATAAATAAAATATAAATTCATCTCATCTATCTATTAACCTTGACACGACGATCTGGCATTCTTGCGAATCTCAGTCAGTTTCATCACACCATTATAAGTACACAATAATAGATGAGATCATTCATCATCCAGATATGTTCTAGTGAAGACTAGTAGAGTATGTTAATAATATCTGTCAGTTTCGTCCAACTATGATTTATGTGAATAGACCAGTCTGAAGTATATATGAACGTTTGTTGACTACATTGGGTTCCTTCGGACTTCAGCAATATTCTTTGTTATAGTATGCATTTGTAATATTTAATATAACCATATCTTTTTAGGTATGGGTTGAAGACACTTACGAGAGAACCATTTCAGTCGTTTCCTGCCGATTTCAATGATTTTTTTTGCCTAGAGATATTACATAAAACCTTAAAAGAATTTGGATTCCTATTGAGATTTAACTAAGCTATTGAATTTATAATATGTCTATTTTCTGGACTACAGATTTTCGGAAAAATCATATTTTTGAATTTTGATCTGAAACTTTGCTCATATAGAAAAATCAACTAGAATAACTTTCATAGAAAAAAATTCAGAAATTTTGAACAAAGCCTTTTCGAGATATAGATTCTTTTCCACGAATGAATAGTGTATACAACATGTATTTTTTCAAGGCTTCATATTTCGAAGAGACTTTGTTTAAAATTTCTCGGTTTTTTTTAATAGAAGGTAGTCTAGTTGATGTCTCTATATCCACAAAGTTTCAGATCAAAATTCGATAGCTTAGTCAAATATTAATAGAAACCCAAGTCATTTTATGGTTTTTATTAGAACACTATATAGTATCTATAGGTAAAGACTCATTGGAATCGGAAGGAGTAGCTAAAGAAGTTTCCTCGTTAGTATCGTACATTGATAACATCAATCAATCATATGTAATTGTTCTCTGCTTTGTTGGTAAAAATATAATGTTGTAATCATATATAATAATCAAACAATTGGTTCGTTTCTTGCAAACTAGATTGTTTTTTATAGTTAACAATTCAAATCAGAATCATTGTATTGTCGGACAAAGTATAAAATCTTGGTTTACTTAGTCTCAATTGTTATTTATCGTGACCAATTAGTCGACATTGTTATTAATATAAACAAAGATATTTTACATCAGTACACGATATTACTAGAAAAATTTGTCTAAACATCAAGATAGAAATTATTATTTATGATTCTTTAAAATATGCTTCTTTTCACTCTACTAATGTCAAAATATATGTTTTTATGATAGTTCTGATGTTTGAAATTATTAGCGTGTAAAATGGAAACATAAATAATTGCCTACTGAAACAAAAATGACACTGTCAGCCAAACAGTAAGGAATGGTGAGAGTATAGGTCGGTATGTACTCTTCGCTCTCACTTACTCATACTTGCGCTCCCGAAAAAAATAGATATAAAACATATGCATGCTTGAAGTTAATTTGTTCATTGAGGTTCATTTTATTTTTCAACTTTGCTCTTCGCAAAAAAAAAACATTTTTCTTTCGTATAAATATAAATGAAATAAACATATTGAATCCTTTATCATCAACTTAACAATAATTTATATTGTTTCGACGTTTGAATAAATCGACATTTTTTATCTGTCGATCTTTTTACACTTGAGCATACTTATCTTTCGACATTTTAATCATTTTACATTTTTCTCTTCTACCAAAATAGAAGTCACTACCTTTCACCTATCTATCACGATTATGAAACCATAAATAATCAATTCAATAATTTCTATGCGCTCAAAGACAAAAAAAAGAATGGTATAAATTTTAACCAAATATAAATAAATTTTTCTCGATATCAAATGGCGCCTAATCTATCATAGTTATTTGTCATTTAAATTTCTTTTTTTTTTTGTGTCTCAGTTATGTTATTGTTTTATCTAATTTTTTTCTTATTCTCGAATCGAATTCATGCAAGAAATGCTAGTATGGAATATATACCAAAAATTGAAGATATATATCCATTACTTAATAATGATCAAATCGAAATAATTGCTGCTCAATTTCATCAAAATCTTAATTGGGAATATGGAAATATGCCTATGCCATTAACTGAAGCTGAAGAAACAACACCAAATCAACCTATTTCTCGTGAATCACAAATAAGACCAGGAATATATAAAGCTGGTCATAATTATCGTCCTGGAGAAATGCATCCATATCGTATTGAACAATATGGTGTTCATTCTCAATCGAAACATCATATATTTTTCATTCGACATGGTAAATTGAAATAAATAAATAATTAATAATAAAAGACATTAAAAAAAGAATAATAGTTTTTGTTATTTGTTAAATTCTTTAGGATTATATTTTTATACAGAAGATGAACCAAATTCACATTTACTTCGTTATGGAAAATATCAAGCACGTATGGCAGGTCATAAAATAAATCAAACAATATATGGATTAATAGAAAAATTAGGTCCATTAACACGACCAATTAAATTAGTATCAAGTACACAAACACGTGCATTTGAAACTCTATACAATATTCGTTTACAACTTAGTAATAATTTTGAATTTGAAACAGAACTTATTCAAGATTCTGGTCTTAGTGAATGCGTGTATAATTATATTTTTAAAAAATTAATTTATTTAGAAAAAAAAAAAACTATATCATTTTTTTTTGTTTTCTTAGTGACGCAACTAAACAACGTAATCGTTGGCTTTATTTTGTTCGTGAATATTTACAACCAATTAAATCACAACAACCTGAACATATAATAACAATTATAGCTAGTCATGGAAATATTTTAACAGCTTTTGATCATATTATTAAAAATTTTATTCATAAAAAAAGACCTCCGTCAGGATTTCCAACGTTTCCTCTTCCATCAGGAACTGGATTAGCACATGGCGATACATTACATTATACTTCTATTGGAGTTGAACCACTTCAATTACAACAGATTATTCGTATGAATAATATTCCAATAACTGTCAATCATGCACACTTAAGAAAAGATTTTTATTATGAATGGGCTAATTTCCATAAATGTAGAGTAAGTAAAAAGAAAAAATATCAATGATTTATTGAAATTTAAAAAATCATTTTGTAATTAAATTCTACTCAAAAAAAATTGGTCTTGGGCTAGTTACATTTCAATCGTATGAAATTTTCAGCCCTATAACATTATGACAATTTCGAGCGTATCTAATAAACAAAAGTCAAAAATAGCTCATATGGTAATTCAAAATCTTCTGTGAGCTTTCATTGATGGAAAAACTGCAGTTTCACATGCTCTTTCAAACAAAAAAGCAATTAAATGTATGTAATCAAGGCTTGCAGAGAAATCTGGGATGAAGCATAAATAAAGAAAATGAAAAGTGAAAAAGAGTGTTCGCTTTTTCTAAAAAAAAAAGCTACATATTTTTCAAGCAGAAGGTAATGGAAATCATCAAAAAACGGATTGCCAAATAGTTGTTTTGTGGAAGACTAGATTTCGAATTATCTTCCTATGTATTTATTAGAGATATACAGGCTAAGCTTTTGCCATATTCTATAACATATCTATCGAATTCAGAGTTTTCGATATTCTTTAGATATTCAAGAAGCTAAAAATTCCACAGAAAGCTCTTTGATCCTCTGATCCTTCCCACAATAGACGATCTGCCAGTAGACCGTCCTTCTTTCGGGACTTGCCCAAATCTTATTTGCCTTACAACCAAATTGTCTGCTTATTTTTATTTCATTTTCTGTCAAAAAAAGGCAAATAATGTTTCAAGGTTCGACTCCTACCGTGATAAGTAGTATCACGGTAGACATGTACAGGATAAGCTTTTTTCATACTCTGTATTCGGACTGAGAAAAATTTTCTAACCCTTACCCGACCGTATTCTGCTGAGAGGAGGAAACCCTTAAATCTCCAAGTCAGCAACAGCATTATTAAAAAAAAAGACTTAGACTATTTCGGAACGTTTTAATCATTATTATTATGTATGCTGTATCAGTGAGTTTATTAGAACTGAATAAATTCTAATATAGGAATTTTTCAAGAAATTATTTCTAAAAAGACATTCTTTTTTAAATGAAATAAAACTTTGTTTTTTTTTTCTTGTTTTTCTCATTCTAAGTCATATCATGGTCGTTCAAATATGAGAAATTATATTCAAACAGCTCTTATAGACACTATATTTGCTAAAGATCATTTTCAAAATAAAATGAAAAATTTTGAAAATATTGTTTATTTCGAAATGAAACATGAATATATTACACATATATTACCCATGTTAATGCATACTTGTCGTACTTATCTTTATCGTCTACCTTTAATTCAAGCAAATACAGATTTTGAATCATTTAATCGTTTGATGTCACCTATACCTATTCCAGCTACAGTAGAAGAACAAACTTCAACATTAAAAATACCATTATATCAATTTAGTGCATATGGTATGCCATTTCGAGTCGATAATAGTATACAAAAATTTCGAAAAAGTTCAACAATAAATCGACAATATGTTTCACCTGATGCTGTTCATCCAGAATCACGTATATTGTTATTTTTAATTCGACATGATAAGTAGATGTTGAATGACAGAGAAGAAAATATTTTCTTTTTTTTTTCGTTTCAATATTCTACGTCTTAATGTTAACACAGGTGATGAAAAAACATCATATTTAACTCGTCTTGGTATTAATCAGATACGTGGTATTATGTCACAAATACATAATACTATTTATTCATATCAACAAAGATTATCTGAACAAGGTCATATATTTCCTGTGAATATAGTAGCTGATCCAACAATTCAATCAGCTGAATCATGTTTTCATGTACGAAGTCTTTTACTTAGTGTTAACTATACGGTGTCAGAACAAGTTACTGATCTTGGACTTCAATATAATTATTTTCAAAAAAGTATGAATATTTTCTTATACAGTAATTGACAAAAGTCTATCCTCTTCCCATATCTCGAATACTATACATGCTGGAAGTCTGGAAATCTATGTGCACTTACTCCATTAACGACGAAAGGTCTTCAAGAGATAAATTGCTTTTAAGCTGGTACTATGTTCAATTGATAGGTTCTAGTAAGTAGGTAAATATTATAGAATGATTCGAGCTGCTAGGCCTTTGTTATTGAGATTTCGAATGTTTAGTGGATTTTTTCTGTAGAGTCTTAGTTTTCAAGCGAAATCATACTTTTGAATTTGGATCTGAAACTTTGCCCATATGAGAGTACCCATTAGAATAACTTTTAGAAAAAACTTCGGAATTTGTTAACCAAGTAACTCCGAGATATGAGTTTTTCAAAACATCCATCCCTTTTTACAATAATCATGGTAAAAGACCTATATTTTAAAAAAACTCATATCTTGGAAAGATTTGGTGAAAAAATTCTAAAATTTTGTCTACAAGCCAGTCTAACCGGTGCCTTTCTGTAGACAAAATTTTAGATCAAAATTCGAAAGTATAATTTCGCGTGAAAACTGGGGTCCTACAGGACAAAATTCACTAAAAGTTCGGTATCTTGACAATAAAGACCTAGAAGCTCGCATCATTCGAGGATATTTACTTACTCACTAGATCTTATCAATTGAATATAATTCCAGCTTAAAATGGATTTATCATTTGGAAACCTTGCCTCCCAAGATGTAGGTCTGAGACACGATCTTACCTTGGTTGTTTAAATGGAACGAGAATTAGTCATGTACTTGGTAACAGGCAACGAGAAATTTAGTAGACAATCTTTTTTCAGGCTAAAAGCTTGAAGCGATCACTGCTGATTCTCAAAGACGATAAAACCGATCAAGTTGAAATTTTTACAGCAAAAATAAGGAGATACGTGTTTGAGAAAAAATTTTGACGTGAATTTTTGCTGAGAAACCCTAGTTTCCTCTAGAGTCACATCCGGGTTGCTTACAACCTCCCATCTAACTTTGTTTAATCATGCTGGAATTTTTACCACTGATACTTGGAAGCATTTATTAAAGGTGCAATCGGTCGTTTTCATCTTTGACTTTCCTACTCGAATTTTACGTATTTATGTCATAAAACTTCGAAGAAGCTTAAAATTACTTCCGAGATATAGTCTTAGGTATCTCGAAAAAAGTACTCAGTTCAATCGAATAAAGTTCGATGGGGAAGGGGTCGTAAACAATCAGGGTGCGATCCTATAAAAACCACAACTTTCCAGAAATAAGCCGCAAAAATCTACTTCAAAATTTTTTTCTCAAACACCTTTCTCTTTACTTTTGGTGTAAAAATTTCAACTTGACCGGTCGTATCGTCTCCGAGAACCAGAAACGGTTAAAAAAGATGC